AAGGAACACTCCTTTAAGTAGCTGCCACAGACACTGTCCAGCACTATCCATGTAGCCACTTTACAAGATTGGAGGTGACCTTGCCTATGAATTTCTTTCTCCGTTGATGACTTACTCCCTACTTGGAGGGTAAAGCCCCGTTAGAAGAGGCACGGGGTTTGCTCTGCCGCTCTTCCATACACACCCCCTCCATGTATAAAGAGTCTAACAGGCATGACCTCTCTTCCACACGTCCTCAAAACTTAGTCTCATTTATCAATTATAATTCCATAAAGTTGGGAGAATAAACACTCTATTCACATTAAGTTGTAAATCAGTGAAAATACAAAGGAGGCAAAACATTTACATAAAGAAAAATGAAAAGCAATTCAAATTTCAGATCTCATTTAATAAGGACTGTGTAGTCTTATAGATACTGGGGAGGGTCAAGTGAGCCCCTAAATAGCACCTCTTGGGCATCTAAAGAAGAAACTATTATGTTTTAGATTAGATGTAGATTTTATGGAAGAAACGCTTTCTTTACCATAAGCAGAAGACTGCCTTTTCTCTAAGAAATTGTATGTTATGTGCTTATAGGGAAGTCACAGTAAAAATTCAGTGCCTAAACTTATCTAATTGTGATATGTCTTCATGTTTTTTTCCTCACTCTCTCCTCAGTTTATCTTCACGTGTCTTTCTCAGAGCTTAATATAGAGGCAAAACTTGAACGTGAAAAGGTGTGCATCTAACAAGCCTTATGAGACCCTGAAGATCCTTAAGCTTGTTCACAGTGTGGTGGGTTACTTTTTGGTCTTTCAACAAAAGATGCCTAAATGTTGTTACCTTTGTCTGCATAAGGGCTTAAATGCCTCCGAGGGGCATCAGAGTCCCTCAGTGTCTGCAGAGACAGCGGACAGTGCAAAGGACAGTGCACTTAGAAAGGGGCCGACAATGCCCGCAGCCGCTCCATTACTCTGTCATCAGAGATATGAGCATGAGGCTGGGCCCTGAGCATTAGCCCGTGGAGCCTGATATGAGTTCATGAGGCTGGAATTCAAAACACTAACCAGCTGTGGGAACCCAGCGAGAAGCCTGTCACACGAGCGGCCTCCAGCTTAGAGCTGTGAGGATTTGGGAAAGCCCTTCTCGCCAAGTAAGTTTGCTTCATCTTCTTTCTTGCTGGTTCTAAGTGTTTGCTAGAATCCTGAACCTATAGTCAGTCACAGGTATGAATAATGGCAAAAGGCAACTCTGAAAATATTTTTGAGGCAGCCAGAGAAATGTTAATACTGACTGGATATTAGATGACCTTGTAAATATAATTTTTAGGTGTGCCGTTAGCATCAGGTTTATGTAGTAAAATCTCCATACTTCTTCAGAGATGTTTACTGAGGAATACAGGGGTGGGATAAAATGACGTCTGGAATTTGCTTTAAGTAATTCAGAGGGAAAAAAAGAGAGGAAAAGGAAAAGATTAAACAAGTATCACAAACTCTCAATAACTGTTGAATCTGGGTTGGGTTATTGGATCAATAGAATGTTCTCTCTCATTATAAAATATAAAAGTATGCTTGAAAATAAACCTATCAGGCTTCTCCATCCATGGGATTTTCCAGGCAAGAGTACTGGAGTGGGTTGCCATTTCCTTTTCCAGGGGATCTTCCAAACCCATGGATCGAACCTGGGTCTTCCACATTGCAGGCAGATGCTTTACCCTCTGAGCCACCAGGGAAGCAAAAATAAACATAGTAAACTTTCATTATAAAAAAGGAAAAAGAAATAATGCCAAACCAAAAGAGAAGTTATTTCTTAAATAACAAGAAAATGTTTTTACAGCTAAGGAATTTCTTAAGGCCAGCTGCTCAAATACATAATCTACAAAGTAAAAAAAAAAAAAAAAAGATGAGAAAATGCATGTTCTCAGGTGCTCAGGTCTTAACATCCTTCTGCAGTTTATGCACTCATAGGAGCAGGAAAGAAGCTTAAGTAATTGGACCAGAAATTAAAACTGACACTTCGCTTTTTTGGGTACTGGGCTGTCGATTACTGTTCATAGCTGTGGTTCTAATGGGAACAGACTAAGAAGGAGATGGTGAGGGGTGTGGGACTCCCAGGTTCTATGGGAATTTTCCTCATGAGTCCCTGTGTAACTTTCAATTAACTTCTCTATGCTTTAGTTTCCTCATCTATAAAATCATAGGGTTGCAAGATATGAGAGCTAAGTTTTCTTTCAGGGCTGAAAGTGCAAATTCCAGATTACATGAGCAAATCTGCTTTAATAATAGGGGAGATAAAAAAGGTCAAGTTCTAGATAAAAATTGGCAGATCAGGAGACAGCAAATTTATTAAACCCCTACTGAATTCTCAACACAGGAAACCCAAGCATAGCAACCTTTGCTCTTAAGAAAAATCTAGTTGGCAAATGAAGCAATATGGAAAATAAACAGGTTCCAAAAGCCGTCTTAGCCACAGTGTAATTCTAGTAAGGAAAAAAAAAAAAAATCTGTCAACTCAAATATTTTGTGCATTTGTTTTCTTAACACAGAAAAGAATGGATATAAATCACCCTCAGTTATGCATCAAAGGAGTTTTAAAATAAATTTTGTTTCCCTCACAATGATTAAAAAACTGTAAGAAACCATGTATTTCTACTGAAATCATTTGAAGTGGGAGGACTGAGAGGGAAGAACTGAATTTACAAAACCACCCAACCCTTTCATTCACATATGTTCTTCCCTGAAAAGCTTAGCAAGTGTCAGAATTACAAGTACATAACTAATTTCAGAAAGATGCCCTATTTGAAGGCCAAATTTGCTGTATAAGCTACAATCCACTTTATGCTGGTGTCTGGTGTCTTGCTTTCTCAACTTGGTGTCTTCCAGATTTCTTCCACTTCTGCCTGCTTTATTTGAAATTCAAAGTTAGTGAATCACACATCATTACATTTTCAGGACTGCTGTTGCTGCCACTGGAACAGTTACTGGCAGGCCTCATTATGAACATATTAATAGCCCTGAGACTTACATCATAAAGATTCTTGACATGCTAGTTCTCCTGTTTCAGTAGATGTGCTTCACTTAGATTTATCTCTACATTTAGAATCTTGCCCCCCTTTTTTTTTTTCATTCAAATAACCCTATTGCTTTCTATGAGCCATCCTTGAAATGCTGGGGAACTGGAGAATGGTGGCCAAACTAGGGGAAATAGTCATATTATTCCTCAGAGAAATCTTGAAAAGAAGAAAGAGAATTTTACTCACTCTGATGTGCTCTATTAACTTAGCTACCATTTATTAACAAACATAAAAACATGAAATGATGGCATCCATATTTGACATCTATCAAGAGTTTTGTATCTTTCAAAGGTGTTGCCAGAAAACAATCATTTTTTTTCTTAGAATGATTTTTAAAGAACTTTTTTGAATTCTATATTGTCACTTTCTGATCTTCCAAGACCAGTTCTTTTCCCTAGTAAGAAGATATTTCTTCAGTTTCAAAATGAGCATTAGCAAAAGGAAAAAGATTCAACATACATTCAATGTACATATTTCAAGGTAATTCTTTGAGAATGGATACAATTTGATGGAGTTGATCATAATTATATTTGATTCCATTTGAGGAGAATGCGGCAACCCACTCCAGTATTCTTGCCTGGAGAATCCTATGGACAGAGGAGCCTTGTGGGCTACAGTCCATAGGGTTGCACAGAGTCAGATATGACTGAAGCAATTTAGCATCCATACACAATTTCTGTTTTAGAAATATTCCATGAATGTTGTCACAAAGAGTCAGATGTGACTGAGTGACTGAACAACACTGAATGTTGTGAGCTTCAGAAAAATTATTTGTGCCACCACACAGAAGGTATATCTTGATTCTTGTCAGTTTTACTACCAAATCTAAAATAAGGAAATAATGCTGGCTTTTTATAAATAAAATAATAAATATAATAACACTGAGTTATCTAAATCAGAGCTTCTCAATCTTGAGGCCACTTCAAAATCTCCTAGAGGAGTCATTAAATACAGATCCCACCTCCTGAACATCTAATTCCAAAGTTCTAGTTTGGAGCCTTTTAGAAACTTCATTCCTATCAAGTTCTTAGATGATATTGATACGGATACTGCTGGTCTGGGGACCACACTAATCTGTTATAAGTACATGTAATATAGATATTGTACTATGGAGCCTCAATCAATCTAAACACTTTAGCAGATGGGTAGGTTAGAAAGGAGTCTCCACCTATGCATTTTGGAAAACAAAAAATTGAATGTAGATAATCCTTGGTATAAATCCCTAGATCTGAGCTCAGCTATACCAGAGTGCAAAAGTAATTAGTCTCCAATTAAAATACATAAATGAAAAAAATAAAAATAGGTAAGAAATTGCTTGCTATCCAGTTTAAGGACGTTCATTGCGTCACCATGTGACCTTGCAGGTACACAAAGCATCAAGAATTTATTTTTTGGTGGAGGGTGTACTTCGGTGTTTCAGTTTGCCCTCCTCACCCAGACTGTCAGAACAACAAAGCTTCTAAAAAACCTGAGGTTTCAGAGTGCGATCTGAAGTTCCGCTCATGTGACCCAAGAAGCGAGGTTCATCACCTCGGTGCGGCCCTTGACCTCTGTGGACGATCGGTTCGGTCTCTATCACCCCGGGGTCCCCGAGCACCCCGGCTGGCCCAGGCCTCTGCTTCCGTCACTTTGGATGGCCCTCATACTAAGGTGATGATGGCAACAAGCATAAAGAAGCCTTTCAATAGTGACTTCCTGTATCTCGCTTATCCCAGCTCAGAAAAAGCTTGCCATTCAAATGAACTGGCGTCACAGAAATGAATTGGCGCTGGAAGAAGGGAGGGAAGGAGCAGAGGGACCGGGCGGGGGGCCTTTCAGAAGCTCTCCCTGTGAGAAGAGGTGCCTGGAGCAGGAAGAAGGGGAGCCCCAGGCTGGCTGCTTTTAGACTGAGACGCAGAGCCGTTGGTCCCCTCGCCTCTTCCTCTCAGGCCCTCCGGACTCGCCAAAGGCGCAGACGGCCCAGGCAGCTCATTCTGTCAGCTCTGCTCTCCAACAAGCCAGCGCGGCCGAGCTATGTGGGCGGAAACACAGACTCAGAATCTGCCAACTCCGCTCACAACGCTGGCTTCCGGGGTCAAAGCGTCGCCTCCCAAATGCTCAGGGAGAGAGATGCAGGAGGGCGAGGGAGGAAATTCACAGCGCTTCGGTGTCGACGTTGACTCCTGACACACAGGGGTCGACCCGGTTCCTGTCCCAGCAGCGGGAGCAGCGCGTGTCTGGCGGGGGAAGCTGTTGGGTCCCTGCTGAAGGTTCCACGCTGAAGTGGCCAGCTGACTGAAGATGCAGGTGGCATTTTAGCAACTCTCCTGTCTCTCAGCTCTGGGGGAAGCGAGTCACAATAACGCCTGTGCCAAGCCCGATGAAAGAAAGAGAAAATCAGCTCTGGTGTTGATACAGGACAAAGACAACTCTCAATTTACACTCTGTCCTCCCTTGCACTAAAAGGGGTGATATCTGTGCCACGGAAGAGAAACGATGCCTGTGTTAGCACTTGTTGCCTCTGCTTTATTTTTAGGCTCTTCCATCAGAGAAAGGAGAGCAGGGACATTTGGACTTCAGACCTCAGGCCACGCTTAGTTTTCTCAGGTTTCCCTGTATACAAAGGGAAATTTTCCATCCAGACCCAGCCAGGAAGCACAGCCAGATCTCAGCGTGGCCACTAAACCTGGGCACGGTGAACTTGCTTATCTGCCCCCAGTGGCTCTGTATCATCACCCCATTTGAGTTTCCCATCCTATTGGTTTTTTTCCCTGCTGAGGCAATGCTTAGGTATAAGAGGGGGAAAAAGAAATACAATGGTGTGTCAAGCAAAGAAAAAATGAATGGTTTTAAGACCCAAGACATTGTCTCTGGTAAAAAGGTTGGTACAGTGACAGGATGCTGGCAGTGGGAAGCCAGCACACAGGGCTTCCTGGGACATACCTCCTGTGTTTTCCTTATTTTGTGGAGGAAATGCAGCTATTATCTGTAACACCTGGGAAGTATGGGATCACCCACGGCAATCGGTCTAACTGTCTTCAGTCTTCAAGAGGGTGCCAATCACGTTGGCCACGGAGGAGTCTACTAGACAGCTCTGAATTCTGAAGAGGGTGACAAAGCTAAAAACATAAGTGGTGCTGGTTTGCAAACTCCCTAGCCAGTCCCACCCCTACAGCATCGTTTGCCGTAGTGTACTCACAACAATTTTGATTAAATCAAGTCATTGAAAGAAACAATCCTTGTGGAATAACATGGAAGTAGAAATAGAAACCATGATTCCATGTGACATGAGATGTTCTAAGGGAACTTACAGAAAATCAACATCACTTATACCATATACAGAAATTCTTCCTATCCCAGACTCTGAGGCCTGATTTTCTTTTTTCAAAGGGGGACCCACAAGTGTTAGATGACAGAGACGTGCTAGCAGCAAATAGAGACTATCTCATCAGAAGAAATGAAAGAGGTTGAAGCGAAATCTCACCATGGGATCTAAAGTTATTTAACTCTGTCTATATCCCAAATAAACCATTTCAAGAAGTAAAGGCAGTGTTTTTCAAACTCTTTTTCAGCCATGATCCACTGAAGAAGTGAGTTGTATGTTGCAAATCACACACACACACACACACACACTCCTATTATAAATACTTACTCTTCTTACCAAGGGTGATGCATTATGATATTTTTGTTCTATTTAATTTTAAAACCTGGTTATGACCTACAGGTGTGTTATTAGCCACATTAAAAACAAACAAAAAACATTGCTTTAAACTTTGGGAAGCATTGGTTACACTCATGCCGTGAACCAATTCAGTGTAGAAATCTTCACATCATCTTGTTCAGCACATTCGATCAACTTCATTAAAATATTCTTCAGCTTCCTTTTTTTCCTACTGAAATAGGTAACCTTTGTCTTGAGCCAGATTATCAGTGATTTTAGCTCAGAGAGAATATCACAGGTGCTTTGTGTTTTACTTGCAGAAGATGCTCTATAAAAACATAAGGACTAAACTGAATCTTGACACAGATATCCGGGAATTAAAATTTTTTTCAAATAATTTGGTCCTCACAATGAAAATGATACTATAATCAGAATGTATCTGTTATATATGTTGATGGTGAACAGAGAAGAGATGGTGATTTCTGCCTCCCTACTGAAGCACCTCGAAGTGCTTACATATGAAAGCTCGTCTGTTATGGGAAGCATCATGACTCAGAAGCAAGTGGGACATGGCAGACAAGTTGAGTTGAAAGGGTAACTCTCACAGCCACGGCTCTGATCACACGGTCACATATGGAGAATTGACACTGGTCATGCACCATTGCACCCCTGGCCTTGTCAAAGGAAGGACTAAAACTAAAGTACATCCTGGACAACACGACTTTCTTCTGACATCAAATTCTGGGAGACGACTGCAACACTTGTAGTTTTATCCCTTAGAGAACAGTCTCAGGGAGTTTCACCCAGGGATTCTGGTTTTCTGCTTTGTAGAACCACAACTGTAGTGGGATCTTATTTTTAGATTCCTTTGGTCATACACCATTGTTCTTAACTCAAAATGCCAGGCATAAACTTATATAAAAGGCAAGACAATGCAACTGATTACCATCCTGTGTTTGAGCTCCAAAATAACTTCAATAACAATAACTTGCATCATGAAATCTAACTGTACACCACAGGCTGGACTAAGCACTTTCTTGGCATTTACCTCTTTTAATTCTAATATTAACCCTATGAGGTAGGATTACACCAAGTTACAGAAGCAGACACTGGGGCTCAGGGATGTGAAGGGAATTTTCCAAGTTCCTGCAGCTTGGCATCAGATACACAGCTGGACTTAAAACCAATTGTTCTTCACCCCCTTTCTGTATTCTCATTCTCCCCCCAGGTAACTCAATAAAGATCACAGCACTGGGGTAGAGGAATACTGACACAGCTCTCATGGGAGGGCTCAGCTGGCTGGTAAAATGCTTTACTGAACACAAGCATGCAACAATGAAGTGGATGAAAGAGCTTTAACAAAAATCTTCATTCTCTGTCTGTCACAGGTCTCCCCTTGACTTTTCTTCTCCCACCAACAAATATAGTAGCTTTCCCATATTTTAGGAAAGGGGTTCTCAAAGTGTGTCCCCAAGACAAGCAGGAATGTCACCGGAAAAACATGTTAGAGATGCAAATTCTTACATCCCACTTATTTTAACATAAAATCGATCACTGAGGTCAATAGATCAGCAGGTCATGGGCATTAAAGGGATATTTTGTGTACAGCAGAAACCAACACAACACAATGAAGTGATTATCCTCTAATTAAAAAAAAAAAACACTTCGTTATATTTGCAGAGCCTAAGAGGAAGGGACAGGTCATGCTATGGGTAATACCAGAGTCAGTCAGGAAACATGGAGAAGGGGCAGGGTCCTTTCTCGTGGCGCCTGTGGAGAGAAACACAAGTGGGTATACAGGTTTAGAATTATCCAGTTTGAGTAAGTTTAGCAGGCTCTGGGGCATAGGAACTGTGCCTAAATGTCTGGTGTCTGACCCTGGGATATGACTGGGATGGGTGGGTGGTGGCCCCAAGGGTGAGAGCTTGATGAATAGGTGATTGGGGTGTGGGTGCTGGCTTGAGGGGCCTGCATTTGAAAGGCATGTTCAAGGACAAGTTGTTTGCTCTCTCTAGGAACTGGTCAGCACCGGGAGGTCCTTCCAGGTTCAGCAAAACTCCAGAGGTCAAAGCATCAGGATACAGAAAATACAAGTGCTGGTTACTACAACGCTGTAGGCCTATGGATCCAAAACTCTGAACCTTGGGCCAGGAGTCTTTCTTTTCTCAGTTCATCACAAATGACTCAAGCACACAATGCAGTTTGAGATTCACAGCCATAGGATTTTCTTACCTGTGTTCTCTGATGGCCCAGGAAGTAGTAAGGATGTCATACAGATTCCAATTTTTCCTTTTCTGAAAACTTAGCAACTCTAAGTATAGATATTAAATGTATACCCATAGACTATTTGAAGAAACTGTCTTTAAAGGCATTAAATACACAGGAAGACTTCCTTCCTTTATTTCCCCAAAGCATCTGTGTATCTAAATTAGAATAAGATAACCAAAGTTTTCAATAATAAATAGCACACTGAGACACTTCAGTGTTCCCTTTAATACGGGATGTTTAATCTTCAGAATGATCTACAAGACAGCTTTGGGGCCAAAGGCACTAGATGGACTTTATAGAGTTTAACTCTAGAAAGATCCATATAATCTGTTTTTCTAGAATTTTCCATATATTTACAATGGACTCGCTTCTATGTTTGGTCAAGTACAGAAAATACGGGTAGTTTATGTATATTGGGAAGATTATAGGACCCAACTTGTCACTCCCAAAACTTTTAAGTTCAGTGTTTTAAAAATAGATTGATGTCGAAGAAAGGAAAAGACAGAAAATTCATGACCCAGCCCTAGCTGTGCTTTAATTAGTCATATGATCTTTGGCAAGTGAATAAATCACTCTGGGCTTTTGTTTTTCTCATCTGTGGTGCCAGGGCAGCAGATGAGAGGATATTTCAAAGCAAATGTGATTCCATAATTCTTTCTATATATAGAGGCAGAGAGAAGCTTCACATGAAAACATCTTTTGAAGGAGGTCATGTATTTTACTATGGTCAAGTAGGAATACGCTTTTATTCTTCCTCTAAGCTCCAAAATCTTAAGTGCAATTATTTTTTGAGACATCCTGGGTTACATGTCTATCTGTAAAAGGAGTTCTCAATCTGGGCTACACATCAGAATCATTTGGTGACACTTTAAACATGCCAATGCTTGGAACCAACTCCCAGAGATTGCTTTTTGGTGTATCTCAAGCACTGAAATTTTTTAAAGCTCCTGGGTAACTCTAATGTACAAGTGTTGAAAAGCACCAGCCTGTAACAAGCCCTGCAGCATCCTTTAAATCAGCAGACAGCACGAACATGGTGAGTCCTACAGGGGGTGGACATGGAGGACACCATGAGTTTGGCCTCATCCCTGTAAATTCAGGGACAGTGGGTATAAACTGATTTCATGAACGATCCTCTGAGACAAGGAAGAGAATTACAGAGTGGGTAATAACAATAGTCTCCCCTCTGGGAGGAAACAGAAGGGTTATTTAGCTTATGGAATTTAGGGGAAAATCTATCTGCTGAGATTTTTCTCATAAAATGTGATAGCAGGGTGGTCTTACAAGTTCCCATCTATGTGGGAGTCTACAGGAAGCAGAGAGTCTGGGGGATAGCAGGAGAAACTAGCAGAAATTCCGAGCACTTGTGG